TAGTCATATACTGGTTTCAAAAGTAAACGGCTTTCGCAATTAAATTTAAATTTGACTAAAGCTAATGTAGAAAGCATTAATTATGCTTAAAAAAAATTTGAAAATTTCTACATATAAACTGTTTCCGTACATGTCTGTTTCCTGTAAAGACTGTAAAGACTTAATAAACACTAGTGGTTTGACTTCGTCCACGTAAAATTACAATGTAAAAAAAAAATATAGCCTATGTTACTCAACGATAACGTAGCTTTTTAACAGGGATAGAATTTTTGTAATAGGCCTAGTAGTTTTTGAGTTATACTCCTAGTAAGGAACATTACTTAATACTAAAAAACCATCCCACATAAAAACTCCGCTCCATACGGTATACAAGGCCCGTTCGAAAACTACATGTTAAATTTTTTCATTGCAAATCAACATTTATCAATCATAGTAATCTATGTCGATTGCTATCAAATAACCATACTCTATTAGTTACAACGGTAACAAACCGGATTTTAAACCGTCTATTATCTAAAATGAAGATATTTGCATGTCTTATTTATGTATTTTATCGATGAATTTTTGAATAATAAGTACCAAAATTATATGTTACTAAATGTTTATGATTATTACAGTTATAAATTTAGAGAAACAAAACTTTCATAATTCTTCCATACAAGTGTTTTATTCTGTAGCCTCTTAGTGTTACCTTGAATCAATTCAAAATTTAAGGACTTAAAAACAGGCATGTCTGTTTTCATTAAACATCACTGAAACCAACCCTTAGAGACCTGACAAGTTTACTATAAATGTCATTACCCATCTTTAGCTCTCAGAAAAGTATAATTTTGACTATACCATTGGGTCTTTATAGAAAAACTCACATTCTAAGCTCCATAGAATGACATATTTTTTACACAAATGTGTAAACGAGCGGCGGGAACACCGATGTGTTTATTGACCCCCATGGACATCCACCAGAGGAACTGCATTCGGCCTTTCTTCACGTTTCCACTCTTTATACCAAGTTCCCTTATAAGGTAATACTATTCAAATAGTAAACATTATGGTAGTTTTAGTATTTAGTAAACACGCCCACCGCAAAGGTCGAATATGTTTGCGGAAGTCTATTGCGACACAAAATATAACTGGTTAAAGAATTTGTTTATAAACATGCGTAAAACAAGAACTAGCATCGTATTAGCAAAGTATAATCTTACTAATATTATAAATGCGAAAGTAAGTATCCTATGTGTTCTTCCAGACTACCCTCTACATCTATGCAAAATATCAAGATCCGTTCAGTAGTTTAGTCGGCAAACTCTAACCATCCATCCGTCTAAACTTTCACATTTATAATATTAATAAGATTGCTCCTTTGCTAATATAATTCGTAATAATACATTTCACTTCGGAAAGAAACGTGGCGACGGGCGTTGATAAAAAGTTATTGCAAGTATAAGTTCTTAATATAAGTTATTGCAAATACTAATGGCTTTATTCTTTCGATGTGCAAGAATATAGAGCTGGGAAAACCTCGGTATCAGATGGTGATATGGTCCAAAGGTATAACGAAGGTATTGTCCGAAGGTATGTGTCGGAGGTACGGTCCGGTCGGCAAGCGCACACCAAGTTTGGCAGCGGAGGCGCCGCGGGGTGGCGAAGCACCCGGCCTTGAACGAGACGACGAACTCGACGGAATGCAAACACGAACGACGCCGCCTGCCCAATTCGTCAAGTACACCCGCAATATGCAGATTAAACTATATCTAAATAGATATAATATTTAGTATGTAGTATATACCAAATATTGGTAAAAGAAATTATGTTTCATGCGTAAAACTGATTGTTATTTTAATTTCATACAAATGTAATCGTTTACTGACGTGCTAAAGAACAATTGTTTATTGCATACTTACTAATAATTTGTGTTTGTTCTATGAATATTGAATCCAATAAACACAATATGTCCAAAACACTAAACACTAACAAAAACAATCTACACACGATACAAAAGTAACGCATCAATGTTAATGCGACAATTTTAAGTGATGTGAATTTGGAAAAGCGTCTCGCCGCATTTACACAGTCGCTCTAATCGGATCGTCCTCCGAGTATACCATGGTCTGTTACGATGTGCAAGGCGAACGTGTCTTACTAACTTGTTAACTAGATTCCAATAAGAATTGTAAGCAAGAATCATAAACTATGGACATAGTCACTTTTTTACATACAAGAGAATGAAATGTATCTCGACAAATAAAATTTCATGGGACCTTTAATGCATATCTCCTAACATCTAAATCTGGAAATTCTGTTCGAGTTAAAATCTATGATAATAAGGCATGGAAGCGCAGCTTTATCTTTTAAAAAAGCTAATAATCATCGTATTTTCCACTGTTATAGCAATCTATACTATTATAATAAAGCGTAAACATACACTTCTTTGTTGCCTAAGATGTCAGCAATTACAGCATATTTTTGAAGAATTCTTTCTTTAATAAAAAGCCCTACACTTACGTCACGCTTTAAGCTATATATTTTCACGCTATTAAACTTAGGGGGTAAATAAATTGGATAAAAACCTTAATGTGAGAAAGAGACCATAAGTTGCTGCCAACATTAAAGAAGCCATGGTGTGTCATCATGTCATGTCATTTTGACAAGTCAGTAATAAAATAAAATTTTCATAATTGCACGCGGACGAAGTCGCGGGCGAAAGCTAGTCATAAGTAAAAGAAAAGCGATAGTTTATTCCACAATGTTACTGGAAAGTATGGGAAACGAAATCCAGGGTCTGGAATCGCTCCAATACTTCTCCGGACACGCGTCTCCAATAAACACTAATTGCTACTCCAGTTAACTCAATTTGCTTAATGACATTTATTTATAGTAGTGACTAGAATTTCCTATTCATCTTTATTATGAAAACCCAACCCAAAACAAATTTTAATATAATTACGTGAGTTTTACATAAAGGTTGTACCTTAATTATTAAAATTAGAATATTCACAGTGACGAGGTGAAAATTTGTTTGAGTTACAAACATTAGTTAATGGATATTATTGAGTCATCTCGTTTTAGCGAATATTTAACTCTTCTCTAAATCGTACACTTTTTTTTTTATTTGAATCCGTTTATTTTAATAAACAATTAATAAGTAACTCTTATAAGAAACAAAAATCAAACAATCAAACAATTTTTTGTACTAAAAATTGCCCGAAAAAGCATAAGCAATATCAAACAGGTTCGAATTCGATTTTATGTTCTGAAACATCTCTTAACAGTTACCAAGGTCATTTAAGACGCCGTTTGGCCTAAAAATGCACCTGTGTTTATTCACACCATCTATTATTATAGTTTATTGTTTCCGATGTCTGGAGTGTTTTATCTGCACATTTGAAATATACTACAGTATCAGCGACCCAACTGAAGGCTGCTAGCAATCCCACGATGCGGTTACATAAAACGTAGACAAACTCGGCCGGAGTGTAAGTGAAATTATTTCGTAAAAGATTTATCTGTGTTCAGGTTTTTCTGCTGTATTGTAACGAAATCCTTGTGTCCGGGAGTATTTTCTTATTTGTTTGTGTATCAAGTTAAATTTTCTTATAAGATTTATGTGTCAAAATAAAAAAAAATAATCATTTAAATTTAATTCAGAACAGATATTATTTTACATGTATAATGTTCGTATTTTTCTGTATTAAACAAAATTTTGTAATCTAAGCTAAATTCAAAATATCCAAATAAATTTAAAATAAGTGTACCTTCACCGTCTTCTAAGTTAAGAGACATTTTTTTCATATACTTCAGTTTTCCGGAATAAACTATTATTTTTTTTTATTTTAAAATATTATTGTAATAAAGCCATCTTGTACAATAGGCATTAACTTTACTGTACTCGTATGATACAAGAAACAATAAAACATCCTTTCTTCAGTACTCGAGTTAAATCTAACTTCTTCGCCTATAAAAATGAACATATTGATTTAATACTTTTCTATATTATAAGGTGACAAACATGTAAGTGGCCAACATTTACTAACACAGTGAAGTGTCAGCTGCCCATAGACATCTACATATGCAGATGGATTGCATCTTTAATCAATGGAGAAGGGGACATTTAAAAAGAGGACCTTTCCGCTATTTATGCATCCCGTCCCATTGCAAATCCACTTCTTCTCATCCTTTACTCATGAAGAGAGCAAGATTACTTAAATTAAGCACTCCTCCTGCCTAATACTTAGTGTTTAAAAAAATATTGAGAAATAGATGCATTTAAAACATTTACAGTACTCGCTGATAAGAAATTCTCTCTTATTAGATAATAATTTTTAAATAATTGTCAGGTTCTCTTATAAGTCTCAAATACTTTAAAATAATTTTCTACACTATTTTATATACTTGCTACAAGAGCTTAAGATTAATTTTATACTTAATTAAGATAGTGTTTACTTTACCTTGTATCATCCTAGATTTATTTATTTATTTCAACAAGATGCAGTTGGATATAACTATGTGAACACAACTTAATATTTTTTTTTATTGTAATATGACCCTAATATTGAGATTTGCGACCAGTTCCTAATCTTCTATTTTCAATGTATAATGTTAACACTGCAAATAACTAGGAAATATTGATCTATGTCTTCAATGTTATATAGATTTTTAGTGATTCATTTTAACTTTTTAAATTGGTTTATTGGTTAAATTAATATTGCACAACCAATAACTTTATTATAAGTTGTATTTAAGCTTTAAAGATAGATTTTTAATATTTATCAGTCATGTTAAATAAAAATGTTCCAACATGTCATATGCACCTAAAACTTGGGAATCTTTGAGGTTATAAATTCTTTATTTGCAAGACGATTTGTCCTAAAAATTAATAAATAACATTTAATCACAAAAAACACGATTTTTTTCCTACCCAAGACCGCTAAAAATTGTACTTTCGAATATAACTTAATAGAAAACTTCACGTGAATAACATCTTTTTAGGTTAGGTTACAAACCTGCATCGAATCGGCACTAATGATCTCGGTTTCAAACTTTTGCGCTAATTCCAAGCTTAGTTTGGTTTTCCCAGTTCCGGTTGCACCTAGAATTATCACCATTGGTATTTTAGAGGATATCACAGATCTCAGAGCCATCATAACAACACTCGCACAAACTTCACATCACCAAAACTAACTTCACGATTGTTTTGACAGAACTCAAGCCATTTATTACGTTCCGTTCTTGGCAAAGTCACCGCAGTGCTAATATTGTTTTCCTTGTTTTTATGCACGCGTGTATCGCATTGTTTATTTATAAACAAACACAATGACTTACATTATTCGAGACTATTGTGCATTATAAATTATTATTGTAATACTATACAGATCATATATCTACTTAGATATTAACTTTGTCGTATAGAAATAACGCTGTTTAGATATCTTGATATTTTAAACGTTGCTAAGTAATTCTATGATTTGAATATTTATCTATGTCAAGTACAGAAAAGAAGTGTTAGTTTATTCATAATTATTAATTATCCTTTTTTTTCTTAATAGCCTAGCGAAAGGTTTTAATGCCTTCAAGTGCCATAACATCACTTTTTTGGCCTGTAATTATCTCTCTCTACTTTAACTTAGTATGTTCCTGTATCAGATCTGTTGACACAAACCTTGGATTATAAAAAAATCTACATATCCATTTTTAATCTATTTAAATATTGCATTGCAATATAACTCAAGGGTTTAGAATGAAATTTTTGACTTGATAAAATTGTTGCCTCGTGTTTTGAGACATTTAAGTCGGTTTGGTTGTGTATATGTGTTACAAGTTATGAGAGGAATAAGGATGGAAAGGAAGAAAGACAAACAGCAAAATATGAATAAAAACCGTTTATTTTTTACACCGACCAAGACAGAGCATTAAAAACATCATCACACCAGCGTACCGCACAGGTACATATAAAATCACAGAATCTAAACACTAATTTAGTAGCCGAAAACCCAATTAAAATAAATCGAAAATGTATAAAAATCACAATCGAATAGCCAATGGTTTCTCAACTCTGCCCCGGAACGGCCTTATCATTTATTTCCATATTTAATGATTATCTTAGCATTTCGATATACATAATTAAGGAACAAAAACCAAAGAACTTTTCACATCGTCATGGTAGTATCCAAGTCGTGTCTGACGCGATAAGTACAAATGTCCTTTTATACTAACGCCACTTCAAAGATGGCAGGGTGCAAAGTTAATGTTAGGCGGAATTTTATTTTGCGTCCTGCACTCTCTGTAGTGGTGTGTGCAGCTACCGTCAGGGGGCGTGTTACGGCTCACCACGGCTCACTATGGCTCACCTTGGCTCACAATAACTCGCCCGATCGACCACCATTTAAAAAAAATTTACATTCTCCCTTGGCCCTAACGGTAGCTAGATGTTACCATCGCTTACGGATACTATACAAATAAAAATTACACAATAGAAATTAAACTATTATTTACTCATCCCAACCTTATTTATAAAATTTACAAATTGAGTTGCTATGTATAAGCTATGTGTAACTTCTTTTTGACCCAAGACGTACCATCCGGCGGTGGTGGAAATGTGCCTTGTCAGTTTTATGTGCATTGATTTAACGCTTCCGTAATGTCGATCTGCCTCTCGAATATAAAGCTGTCATCTTATATTAAACTTTATCTACTGACTTTCCCTTACGCGAAAACTATAGTTTTTAACTGTATGTTATCACCGAATAAGAAACCAATGTTACTTCCAACATAAGCTAAATCATCATTAACTTTATTATTTATGTCAAGTATAACAAAAAAAAATTAAATGCAGGTACAACATTCGAGAATTCGTAACTCTCCCATTAAGAAAAAAAATTAAACGATTACTAGAAAAAAAAACTCGTTTATAAAAAATGACGTACATCTATCTATTCTCTATTATGTACATTTAACAGCTAGTGGAAGATAAACTGCAAACCTTTAACAGGATAACTATAAACCTCCTCGTGTTTCTACTTATTAAAACAACGCTATATCCTACATAATATCTCACAAAAATATTTCTTGCAACTAATTCGAGTATAAACCTAATATTATCTATTTGTATATGTACATAGCAAGGCACATTCCGCACACAATTAAAGCCTTCGAGCGTACGATCTGCTGACCATGTTGATATTAACATCAAATTGCGGATAAGGCCCGGACACCGAATGCTATTGCGCCTTCGACCCCGGCGAAAAACTAGCGCGTTCACAATCTGACAGCCTGCCTTATAAACTAACCACTTTACATAGAAAGTACATCACTAACTTACTGCAGTAAAATATTATATAAAAGAAAATGCAAAATTTTCTATTAGTAGGTACTATGAGGAACTATTTCGTGGTTATTTTTTTATGTTTAATTTCTTAACGGAAATAAAGTAATTATGATGTTATTATCAAAATACACAGTCTATGCCATTATAACGTATACTAGTCACTGAGATTGTTTCATTGTTTTGAGTCACTGGACTATTTAGCTAAATTGCTGCTACATTTTGTTAATCTGTCTAATATTCACAACGTACAAAATAAATCCGTATACACTAGGCGAAATAATAATGAATATTTATACAATAACGAAGTGCGAATTGGCTTTAAAACATAAAATCACTTTTTTATCGCCGCGCCAAATACATATGACAGTAAAAAGTGCGCGAAAATTATTTCGAAAAGCGCTTTCAAGCGTTAACAAATCTTAGTATTATTAGCGTAAAATTTCTATGTAAATTACGTGCAATATATAAGCACAAATAATGATTAAAAAATAGTTAAATGGTCCATAATTTCTTCGAACGTAATGTATTTAAAATGTTGTATCGGAGTCAATGGCGCGACTAAATATAAAAACATTAAGTGTTAAATTTACATGATAACAAAAACCACTAAAAACCGTAAGCAAACTAACCTATGCATATTTAAGACTTACATTAATATCGAGTTAACTATATTTGATATCACTATTCAATTCCCGCACGAGCGCGCGAGACGTGGGATGAAATAGAAAATCCTACGAACCGGGCCGAAAACATATATTGAGGCCAGCACATCCGGAACTTTCTGTTACTCTCAGCAGCCACCCGCCCTTCTGCCAGCCTAGCCTACCAAGTCTGCGCCGTCGGCACTACGCCTCTACTTGCCACTATGTACAACACTGACAAAACCAATCTAATACTACTGTACTGTCCTGACACTGAGAAACGCTCAACTAAATCACTAAACGTTTCCGATATATGATCTAAAGTTGGTTTGACAATCCAATGCGATTCAAATCTAATCGCTCACTCCACAACTATTTTATTAAATACTTTTAAACAATAAATCGAAAAAAAATTTCAGAGGTATATCCCAGTCTACGAGTTATCTCACAGTCTGTAACTATTATGTTTTATATGAAGTCCTGGATTGCCAGTTTTATGGCTCACTTTGGCACTGCAAAATATCGTTTGAGCAAAACTAACTGGCGGTAATCACTACAACATTTACAGAAGCAGAGTAAGCCGTAAAAGCTGACAGTTTGATGAAATTTAATGAACTCCCGTCGATTCTTCGAAGACCTTAGCGGCGTCATTAATAAATACCGTATTCTACATACAGAAATTATTAATACGCATCACAACTTACTAAAGTTAGCGTCCTCTAGCATGACGAGGAAGTCTCGGAGAGCCCTCCCTGAACGAACGATTACCGCAAAGAGCGACCGGCCCGCTCAATACACGCGGTAGCGAGATACCATCATGCGGAGCTTTCTTAATTTGGCGACAAGTTTGTTCTGCTGCTTCTGCAGGGTCTCCCGTTCGTAGTCATCCTCGCGCAACTTCCGGCAAAGAGCCGCCGCCTCGCGCAGTATCACGACTTTAGGGGCGCGCTCCTTGTCTCTGGTCGCGGGGATTTGCTTCTTGAGTTCGTCGAAAAGGTTTTTAAGTCCGATGCGGCGCTGGCGCTCCATATCGTTGTGTATGGAACGGCGCTCGATGTCGGGCGCCTCGGCCTCAGAGTCGGTGTCAGTGTTAGAACGTCGGCCGCGCCTGCCCGGGCCGCGTGCTTTTCGTCGCGGCACGGAGGCGCTGGGTATGCTCGTTGGTGGTATGAGACGCTTCCTGGCTGCCGGCCGCGGGGTCTGCTGCGGCGAGTACATGATGTCCTGGGATGAAGACGACCGCGAGTACGAGTCTCGCGACTGTGTGGTGCCCGGCAAAGGTTGATGGGTTGTGCCGACCGACACCACGTCTATTTCCTCCTCTGTAACAATAGAGAAATAGCTTAGTTTGTTGAATCTTTAATACTAACGAAGCAAATTAAAAATGCAATGAGGTATATCTATTATCTCCTGGATCAGTAATGTTAACTAGCGCCGCGAATGGTATAGCGTTCGTTTATTTGTATTGCAAATTAAAACCCGCATTAACAGTTTCATAGCTCGCATGCTTTCATTCATGCAACGACCGTAATGTTCGCATCACCATAAAAGGCGGGCGATCGCCGTAGCGTCGTCTATATAGAATTGCGGGTCTAGATGTGATGTAGGGATGCGGCTGCAGTAGTCAGGTGGGAGGCGCTGGTACGGCGAGGGGAGGCGTGCGGAGGGCGGCAGGGGGTCGAGGGCGTCGACCCCGGCGTACTACCGCAGCGTCTGTGGACATCGATCCGGACGCCGACGTCACGGGCGTTCGCGCCAAAACTAGAGCGCGTGCGCGGCTTATACTGCAGCGTCCGCACTCAATGGACGCTCGCCGGCCAGCGCGGACTTGCCCCCGTCACGTCATCATCGCGCCGCGCCGTACGGGTCGCCCAACGCGTCGCCATCGGCTGTCGAACTCGGTGTCGATAGAGAGGAGCTTCATTAGTACATCGTGAGCACGCTCCCTCGGCGAGACACGCGAGCAATTTGAGACCAGTAAAACCTGTTACTGTTGCTAGGGCTCAATCGCGTAGCAACAGGCAGACGCAGTTTGCCGTTTTCGAATGGATAACTAGTTTTTTCTTTACAGAATATAAATGTGAGAGACGTACGGAGTCGATGGCGTCAATGGTAACTGCCTCAACACGGGCGCCTCTCTGTTATAATGTACCTGCATTCTCTAGAATCGAAGCCATAGGACTAGGACTCCCAAATGAGCAGGATAAATAAATCTTGCATCTAATAATTTACAAAACGATATCATTAACAGATGTAATAATGAATGGAGGCGGCAACGGGTGTAGAGTACTCGCTCGACGGATGTAGTCCTACTACTACGTATCGTGTTTACTATGCTGGGCCAATTCCGCGGAAAGTCGGCTTGCGGCAGCGCTATCTCGTTACGCGACCGAATAATTATGTCAGCGGTTCCCGCGATCCGAATCGGCCGAGTGAACGCAATCGCCTACAGTCCACGCCCGACAATTTCCGATTAGATTATAAATTTTAAGGCGTTGAAAATAGAAACCGGTCACGTGGGCAGCTGGCTAAGCATTCCAAGGACGAAATCCGCGAAATATACGCGAAACTGAACATTTGCGATAGACGACCTCGACTACGATTGAATAACGCCGACGCGCGCGATCTTTTTCGTCGGTTCCGCATAGCAACACGGCTTATCGTACGCGCCGCATTCGTCCTGCGTATCTATGTGACGCGCGGCCGTGGGCGCGGGGTATCCATTGTGTGGGAAGTAGATTCGCACATCGCAATTTTCTCTTTCCCCGGCGCCGACGCGATTAACAACCGACTGTTGGTATTATTTTCAGCGTGTAAGCGACACCGGCCGCATTGTCGCCGCCGGCGGCGCCGCTCTAGCGCCTATCTACATACTACCTACATGTACATATTCCACTCAACTCACACGTGATTTCAAACGTCGCGTTTCGATTTGATATGCTGCAGTCTGTAGTAATATTACAATCGGAAAACCCGATTGTGTCAGAGCCTTAAATATATTCTTGTCAACAAATCTTCAATTTTAATACTGAACATGTAATAAGGTTCGACAATATGGTATCTATATTGTTAGCCCACTCGTGATTAGTCACAATTCCTAGGCACTATCTAAGTCTGCGTGAGAAATACAATGAGTCATTCAACTGCATTGCTTGCTTAGGACCACATTGTGTAATTCGAATGGCACATTAATATTTACAACTGGAATACTATCTTAGTCATTATAACGTAAATCTTATACGGAAATATTAAAAATAATTATCAACATATATTTTACTAGAGATATATTTTACTTTATGTACCAATTATAATTTTATTTGAAAGAAAATCATGAATTCATCTGTTTTAAATTAATATTACATAGTAGCAGTTGTCGGTAATATGTGGAACAAATACAAATAAATTGGATTCTAGGCTACGAGTGCGATAGGGCGCGGCTGCATTGCATTTCAGTTCACACAGTAACCACGTTCCGATTTCATAAATACGATACAGGTTACTAATTGATACGAATTCTAAAAGAACTTTAACCATATCTTAAACTTTGTATTCGTAAGGGTTTTATTATGAAGTTAGACGGATGACCCGCAAGGCGTTCGCCACGCTCCAAAGCCCCAGGCCAAGTTCACTGGCATTTGAACGCGTTAATTAAAAATTTTCATGACGTGCGCGCGATGCACGCTATTTTATACAGCATGATCACAAATCAAACCCTACATTGTCTTAGATCATTTTGTACAGAATTTTAAAATAAGTCATAATTAAAAGTGCGCGAAATATTGATAATTATAAAAGGTGCGCCTCCTATCAGTTGACACTCATACGATATCAGTTTTATTTCTCGATGGGATTTTAAATGATAATCAATACGATTACTGTGCGAATTTACAAAAACCTTGAAAGTAATCTGCGATAAGAAGTCGCGTGAGCGATGTAAAATAAATTTTCAATTCGACACATCCTGTACATTGGAGTACCGCTGCAACGTTAATAAGCTTAAGAGACCATAACTGGCCGCGGCTTATGTTTTTATTGTTTTCTCATTTGCAGGAGCCCTAAATGGAAATCGCTTACGTCAAACTGTAGGTACTACCCACTAATCGATCGTGACTTGTGGTATATTAGGAAACGAATAAAACGGCGATCGCATCCATCACTGACCCGATCGTCTGTGTATTTTCGGTGTATTACGCAACCGAGAAAAGTCGGTCATCTAGGCAGTTGCGGGTGTTCGAGACCGGCCGCCTTCTAAATCAGGCAGTGATAATTTATGGACCGAGGTATGATGGCGGATCGATCGTACGGCCTTGGTTTGTATGAAGTTCACGGGCGATCGTTTGACGTAGGAAAAAAAGCTAACAAACCAACGAACCAGCAGTCAAGTGCTAATGGAATAGAAAATGTAACCGGATTTATATATTGTGGAAAGATCTCTCGGGGTTACTATAAATATTAAATACAGAAGAGAATTAAGATCGAGTCAAACGAGATTCATCGGACGATAGAAGTAGATCTATCAATTAATGAGGGTAGTATCTAAGTAAGTATTTAAAAGATACAGAACATTAATTTAAGTCGCGAATGATTTAAAATCGCAAGAACACTAAAAACGAAAATGTCAATCGATTAATACTACGACTTATAAAACAGATGTTAATGGCTTATCAAAGAAATCTTATTACGTCATACGAACCGATTTTGTCCGTATAATGTATTTATATCCACATCTATATAAAGTAAAATCTATGTTAATTAAATATTAATAAATGATGGAGCTTTTCAATATTACGATAAATTAGAAGAAATAAAATTAACTGAATCTATTTGAATATTTGTCCTTAAAATTGTTACTATGCATAGTTTCCACACTTTTTTATAGCTTTTAAATTATTCCGCTTTGCTAATTCTGGCAATACATATTATAATAGATTATGTGACCTACATAGATGCGCTAAACGGTGTTGCTATCTGCGACATAACACACATTTATGGAAAACTTAGAGACAGGATTTAGATTATAATTTTTTTTATTATTAAATAATCATTAGGTCGGTAAGATCAAGGTGAAATTGTAAATTATCATGTTGCTGAGTCGGTATCACGCGGTTAGTGTAAGACATTTTTGATAAGACAATACAAATTTATGCCAGTCGGACTGCGTAACCGTTATCGACATTGATGCTTGAAGGTCGCGGGACCGATATTTACCAAACTGAGCCTCCTTTCAAGGCTCTTTATATACTTGTTACCATCTTCAATCGAATTCTATTCTATTTTAAATATTCTTAACATCTAAACATGTTTAGCTTCAGTATAAAGTTAAGCAAAATTTGTAGTAATATTGGCTCAGTTTATTCCCAAGTTTAAATTTATACCGCGTTTATTTGTAAGGCTGCTTAAATTTAGTAACATAGATTGTTTGTATGATATCTAAACGGACTAATAGAAATATCTGAATCTACTTCTTTTGTAGGACTTTTTTTTTGCAGATATTTATTTTTGATCAAGCCTTAATTCATCGTATTCTGTAGCAACCGCATTGAGGAATGCCACTCGGCACTTCCACGTTTCATTTAACGTCACATAACTTTTTTATCGCGATTTGAAATATTTACACACACATACGTAGCGATCGTTTAAAACAATATCTAACAATTCCGCGCGATAACGACAAGGTCGCTCCCACTACAGTGAACATAGTACAGCGGGACATTCATATTTTACGACTTACACGCCACGGACGTCGATCACCGCGGCAACTTATCGTGAATTGATAATGATTTCTACATTAAACGCTTTACTGTCCGACAAACCATCAAACGTATACTCATTTTTTTTATCTTTTTAACAGCGATCGGGTAAAACTAATGACACAATTCGATCGGATAATTTTCGTACCAATTTTCCCATTACGGTATAATCTTTTACAAATCTCACAATAGTCCAGATTGAAAAAGTTGGCTCAACTAAAACTTAATATATCTATATGTAGGTCAGCTTCAGCCGCACACGACCGTGCAAATCGTGTTAACTATGCAGCGCAGAACATTCACATCGTCTGCAAGCCGTGCTTATAACATTTCTTTAGATAAATCATAAAAATAGATTTATGCCAACATAAGATGACAAATTCATACTGTTGCTACAAGCCTTTGAACTATGTTAATCAAATATTTAAACAAGTGATTGTATTTAACATTGCTTAGTAAGTATTTACGTCAGTACTTAAAATAAATCAGCTGTTCTGTCGCTGTTCGCGAAAAGTACGAAATCGTAACCGTAGTAGTCGGCCCCGACACGGTTCCGAGCAATTTGGGGGGCGCCTAAAACCGGATTTAGTGCCCTGAATTGCCCTTAAAGGAACTCAACAATTCTATAGCACAGCCACTGCCCCACTTAACGGGACCTAGAATTTAAATGTCATAAATCACAAACTCGGCCGCGCAATCTGTCAAGATAAAACACAGGTCAAAAGCACCTAGAGCTATTTAACTCGGCTATCTGTCTAAAGTTTATTAGGTTAGCCGCTTTTATAATTATAGCGGCGGGCAACAGCTCGCGATATTGCGAAATGACATGATGTTTTTTGATAAAAAGTACCATAAAACTATTGAACCGAAATTTTCATCGAGTATTTCAATTTGGTTCACGGCGTTAAGATCTTAATTTTATTCTATAACGTATATGTGTATGTAACTAAACGGTACCGCTGCAAAAAGTCAGTGTAATAAAATTCAATAACTAATGGTAGTTTTGTCGCAACATATTTGCGCGGGAAAATGAATCTATTGAGTTCGCAGCCGGCGCGCTCCGCGGCGTATGGCGCGATAAAACTGAGCATGCGTCGTAAATTTGGCGCGGCCGCTAGTGATGCGATACGGACCGTTACCAATCTTTTAATCGACTTCGTCAGAGTTATTAATATCGAAATGTTTTATAGAAAATAAAAGGAATCATAGTTTTAATGTATCTTCAGCGAATACCTCATTAGGCGATTTCACCGATGCGAATTATTAAGACTGTCTATGAATTGTGACGACCGGACTAGATGCGGGAGTACCGCGTTGGGAACCGGTCCGGCGACCGACGACCGGCTATCCAAGCTCCACTTCAATGAGATTCCATTTCATTCCGTCGCATTCTTGCGCGACTAACGGACAACTCTATGCGAGAATGTCGCAATGAATGCGAACATCGATATTTTAAAACACGTCACTAACATAATTAATAATTAAAAGGAAAAAAGGATTTTTTTTACGATCACAACGAGTTGCGTCGTAAACAAATGTGAGCTACAGAGCGACCTCATACGCCGCTATCGATGATAGCTAAAGTGCAAATAGATAACGTAACATTGTAGTTGTAGTAATGATGCACTCGTGTGCCGTGCACCGAGGTCGACTCAAGTCACAACTGTAAATATTATTAACCTAAGCGGCGCTTGCAATACAAATACCTACGTTACGTACTTCCCGCCAAAATTAAGCGAACGATTCAAACTAATTAATCGATCCGCACACGATTGGAATACATTAATAGTCAGACAATGACAGATTCATCGCGTCCGAACTTTGCACCCATGACATTTAAACATCTAGACATCGACGGACTAATCGAGCGAGCCTCAGATGTGGACCAACTATTCGTAATTATTCAGTCCCTCGGGATGAGCAGGATGGTCTGACATTAAGGAAGGTTGGTACGTTCAAGGTCGGCGAGGTTCCGGAAGGCGCGGGTGCGTCTAGACGGCGGGCGGGGTGAGGCGCGCGGGGGCGGCGGGAAGCCGGGTCGATACGGCCAGCTTCCGCGCTCGCAGAATTACGCCTGCGTCCTACTCTCATCTTGTACCGCCCCCGTCTTACTCAATTATACAATAGTATTTCACTGTTAGATTTATATTAACATAACTACAATTATCAAAGAAATGAAAAAGAAAGTATTTCAATAAAATCTGATGCCAAAAAAAATGTATTGTGTGGATAACATAGAACAAAATAAAATTTATCAAGTATTTATGTTGGTATATCGGTTAATTGGAAACTTTCTACTACCTATGGTAACTTTACGTGGTATCCGCTGGCGATCTATTTACGGAAGAGAAGGAAATTCGCATACATATATAGGTCACTTAACGTTTACACACTTAATTATAAAAGATATAAAAACATACCTGATTCGCAAGAGTCAGACGGTGTTTGAACTCCGAGGTAATCGATGCGTTGTCTCGCGATGGTATAGGAGTGGTCTGCGGCCACGGCGGCGGAGTCCCGCACCAGCCGGCGTGCAGCACTTGCCACATCCACGACGTGCTCGAACGGGTACTGCTGCTCATCTCCATCCAACGAAGGCGGCGTCTCCGGCCGAGGCGGCGATATATCCCGCCGCAGAAGACTCTGGCCTGGCGTTGCCGATATCAAGTCCGTAGGAACGAATGTGTTCGAAGGATGCACCGCTGAATCCACGCAAGAACCCGCCCACATACAATCGTGGTGTACAATATTGTCCTTATGGTCTTCCGGACTGTCCGGTATTCTCCAGTCCGGGTCGCTATCATCCAGACTGTCCGGGTTGGACGGCGGCACGAAGTCCAGCCGGTCCACCTCGTAATCCACCTGCGTCCAGAACTCGGACGTCTGAGCCATCTCCATCGTCACCTGGTCCAACGTCTCCCAGATGTCGAACTGCAGTATGTTGGGGTCGAGGATCGGTGGCGACATTTTGATTGTTTTTTCTTCTTTCTTTATAAACTAAATACTAACTAGTGTTAAAGCTACGACGAAGTTTTTGATATCACAGAGCCCCTTATCACAAGGACGATGCGCGCGATGGGTCCTACGCACACCGTCTGTAACAAAAAGAAATCCATGTTTTATTTTTGAATTATTTAATTAAATCTAAATTGTTAATAAAAGTATAGCTTTATTTTAAAACTGTGTCGGTTTGTTTATTTATTAAAACCGAAAATTAAAAACCTAAATATTTAACTATATTACCTAAATATTGCACATCGTTCACAAATTAAAGTTCACTGCAAACTATCAAACTTTAAAAAAAAATAGAAAATGTTGAAAACAAAAACAAGTATTTGTAGCACAAGGGGTGATGACCCCCTTGTATACAAACAAATCCCGTTAGAGCACCAAGTTGGAGAGCGGGAAGTGTCCACCTCGGTGTCCAAAACTAGACTGAAGGCGGGATACGAAAACGAACAGTTTTAAAGGGTACTTTGGCCTTGAGACTTATTCCAGTTCTGACAAAAATTAGCTATTATCCTTGGAGTACCACCCCCGCATTTTTTTACAATCTACCTGAATATAGATGGCGGTGATTCCGCGAACAATCGTCAATGCCAGGTAGACGGCTACGTGAAAATTGAGCATTTGTTTACAAGCGCAGAATGGCGCGAAAACATAGTGTTTACCAATACAACGACTGCGCGCCTTTTTACACTTCAATTGAATTCCACACACAGAATAGAATTTTTCCATACCCTCTATAATTTATTTTTAACAAAATGTATTAAAAAATATTTTTATACAAAGCATATCAAAATAGCAAAATTTTGTTTGTAAAAATTTTAGAACAATTATATTTTTTTTAATTTAATATTGGTTTAAACGATAAGTACAATTTGCAAAAATTATCATTTTTATGCCAGTAATGATTTTCATTCCATTTTAAAAGAATTTTGTAAAATTGTACTTTTTGTACGAATCGAGATTAAAAACTCCCGATGATTTTTTGCCGTCATTGCATTTTACTAATTTTTTCTCGTCTTTCAAAAGACATACTTTAGTAAATTAATATCATCATATGACAACATGAACAGTAATTTGCTTTATATTATGCAATTTACATTTGTGCATTTCATGCAACACTGCGAGTCAACACAATATTGTGAAATGTAAAATATTACGAAATCAAAACACAACTCTTATAATTAAAAATCGAAATATTTATTTAGCTATAACTTAAAAAATTAAAAATAATTAGTTTTTTTTCGAGTCAAAATAATATATATCAAGAAAAGTAAAGATTTTTAATTAAGCATCTTAAATATTCTACATTTCCACTTTTTACACTACACTACATTTTTCATTTCTTTTTCAACATTTTATTGATTTTCATTTCATAATTAAAAAAAAAAATTGTGCAACGAAGAAAAATTAAAAGATTTTACAAGTCTGTTAAGTTATAATGAAATTCTAAGAGAACGGCAGGTATCTGTTTTAATACGCGGCAATAGTTAGTAGCAATGTTAGGAATTTGGGCGCCTGGATTTCGCAGAAACGCCAACAAGCCGAAGTTCATTTCATAGTCGGCAACGCCCCGCCGCCAACTTATACGCTATAAACCTATTAAATATCTACCCGCACCTGTTGACGCTTTTTTAAACAATGTTTAGCAACTAAACGATGTTATAGAATTACACTCTAACTATAGTAATAAAATAGCTCACCAAAAAGTTTGTGCAAAACGCGATCCGACTGGGGCCGGCGAGTTACACAATTTCACACAGAATTCTTCAGAATCTTCGACAAAGTTTTTTCCGTACACACTGCGTAACACTCACTGAGAATATGCGGTTGGTTATACAGTGTAAATTAAATACGGTACTTCTTCCGAGACCTCCTATTGAGTTTGTCAGACACTGAAACATTATTCGGGTGCCGGCCGGTTCTAAGGACAGCCGCGCGTGCTATTCGGGTGGCGCCGTGGACACGACTAGTTGGCGAAGCGCGAGGTGGCGAGCGAGTAGCGGCGGCGGCCGCTCTCGCGCTCCGGGCTTTGACGCGGCGCCCCTTCCCCCGCCGGCCGCGCAGCGCGCCTCGTCCCGCTCTTGCCCCGCCGCACGCCGGCCCGGCTAATTCGATGCCATTCACGAAATCCTCTGAAAATACGCTTCGTCCTACTGATTTTGTGCCACGCATATGTTCACATATCAGTTGTTCATGCAATCACACAGTTGTTTTGTTGTAAAAGCGTATAAATATCGAATAATGTCATAAAATATCTTGCGAGTCGCGCCTCACAAGTACTCGGGGAAGGAAATCAGCGCAGCGACGTTACGGCGTGCGGCTATGTGTGCGTAGCGGTTATCTGTGTGAGTTAGGTGCGGTTTCTGACGTTGTGGGAGGAAAATCGAGGCGAGCGCTGGTCGCCGGCCGGCTAGCCGCTAGCTGTCGTGTCCTCTCCGCACTCGGCCGCCGGTCTTTCTCGGGCTAGAACGTTTGTTGTATTGTTTTTCACAGCTGCCGCTATTGGAGCTAGTCAGTCGACATTCCTAAGATCGAGGCTTATGGCGCGAAGCAGAAATACCTGAGCGATTCTGATGAATTGGCGCGTATTATTTATTGAGCGCTTGCACTGCAAACAATTAGGTCTCATAGTCGTAAAATGTACTGAGCGTTGCATTGTACGGTTAGTTCTGCACTATTAACTGGAACTTTATGTACAGAGTAGAGTAAAAACCCCCTGAAATTATTTAAAAAAAGTAAGCGTTAGGCTTATATGATTTTTAAAAAAATGCTGTTAAATTCGAATAAACGAAATTAATGTGTAACTTATAATCAACTTTTATTTCCCGCTATTTATTGACCGATACAAAAAAAACTTGGAAGTAATTAATCAAACTACAGCATGATTTATTTCAATTCATTCATTACACATGAGAATGGCAACAATATTGTTTGTTATCTATGCAATAGTAATACATCATAGGATCGAGTATTACTTTCCCCCCATAAAGTTCGACGACCCGCATTCCGCGCTGCATTCCCGGCGAAATAAAAAAAACAGCATCGACTTTGCAAACCTTAAGTGTAGGGCTACCTTATGTCAAACATAAATTACGGACAACTATAGATTATTTAGACCCTATTTAGGTGACGCTTTAAATCATCATAACGTCAAAAAGTCCAGAAAATAGCATCAAAACGTTTTTTGTGAAAGACAACTCTAAAAGCAAACTAATTTATATTAAAATGTTACCTACTGACGAAAATGACACGAATCAAACCAGGCACCAGTTAACAAATCAATTTTTTAAGAGCCAATGTAATCATACTCTATGACAAATATATTTTTAATCAATTTTAAAATGTACCAAAATGTACGAATTTCCGCAAAATTCTTTTGGACGATCCCAATAAAATATATCCATGTTAAGGGTAACCCTACTTGCGACTAATAAAAGTCCTTCCCTCTCCCTCCTTTGAAAGGGACGCCGTATGGCGGTTGATTTTAATTCCGAACGTTATATGAGATTATTTATTGATCTATTCTAATCAAACATGTCTGATCGAAGTTACAATCATAGTTTATACTTTGTAGATTTATTATATATTACAAAGGTTACTTTTGGATATCAAACACTTTTTTAATTAGTATACTACTACTATACAACTACAATAAATATTTAACAATATGGCCGATCAACCAAATTATGATTCCATTCTCCCGCATAGTAACAAAACTTTTAGTTTCACATTCTCTCCAACAGATGTCGCTTAACGTATCTGTAAGCAAACAACGCTCTGCAGTGTCTACGATTTTGATTTGTAACCGACTTTTTACGCGTTCTTGCATCGAAAATAAATTGTCATACAAACTGGTTTCACTAAATTACAAACGAGCATAAAAACATACAAAAAATGTATTTCTTAAATAATCATGTTAATTAAATTGGTTGTGCATATATTTTTGTAAAAAAATACTTTTAAAAAGCAATAATTTATGTTATTGATTGCTTACAAAATAAAAGGTAGGATTTACCGTAATCAATACACACTGAGTTAACAGAAACCGACAAATTATGAACACAAAAAATGACTACCTGTCCCGACCATTAAGAAACTCTTCACTGATCCTTCCGCCCAACTTTTTTTTTTATAATAGTAAAACAATCGTCATCGTTTCAAAGAACGCCGTCTAGAGTACTTAGTCTTTGTTTATGAATTAGCATTTCGCGGTATTTCCAATTTATTGGAATCCTATTTAAGATATTAAAAAATATTACTGTTTTAAACATACTTTTTTTGTAGTTTTTTTTCTATTTATTGATTATTGGTCATATTGTAGTATGTACAGTATTTTTAGCTTTACAACGATTTTTTTATGATGTGCTCTGAGATTTTTTTGGATCAGAGAATAACGTAAGCATGTAGTAGTATAATAAAACTAAAATTATGGTAGGCGTAATGTCAAATTCGATCTACAACCCTCACCCAGTTTATCATTGTAACAAAACCCTAGAAAAATTAGAACACGCTCACCCTAACTACGCAAACCCTTTCCAAATAAGCACCCTTCGGATAATTTTATTCATTCAATAGCATCTACTATAGATAAAAAAATAGACGCCGGAAATAGAAGCCGTTTCCGAACTGGTTGTCAACAAAACGTATTTGGCAGATGCGAGATTTATCGGAACGATTTTGAACTTAAAGATATTTAATTTAAAGGCGTTGCATTGATATGCATATTAAAAAGATAGGGTGAAAGATAAAAGAAAAAAAAAACCGACATAATCCAAACTTTTAATTTTTTTTTACACAAATATCACGCGGGAATAATTTAAAAAAGGAATATGTCATTCATAATTAACGATTAAGTTGTCAAAATTTTGATGTGTTTTCGCCACAGGTTGACATAATAGGCTTATATTTATAGAAATACAAAGGTACCGTGCTACCTGTTATCGTAAATTCAAATTTCATTAGGGCTGGATGTCGTAAAAGTTTACTTTTACGACTGCTATAAATTATTAGTAAATATCCGTTAAAAAATCAATGACTCGGAAAGAATCCCGCGCTTACTATTATCAATATGCAAGTTTTATGAGTAGCTAATCAAGATAAGGGTTGTACCATACCGAGAGGCTTCACCCCAATAAAGTCTTAAATCTTCTAAAAATTGAATTAAAAATCTAAACCTTTTTTGAAATACGGAAAACTACGTAAATTCAGTAAGTAATTTAATTAAAGAAATGTCACATAAACTGTCTTATTTCCTGAGCCATTTCCACCTTGTGATATTTCCCACGCATTCATATTTAAAAAAAATGCAATTCGAATTTCAAATATTGCCAGAGATACTCTATGACGAATGATTACAACACCTGCGACAGATTTGAACTTCGGTACAGTCGCGATCAAATCGATTTAAACATCAATAAATTTCGATATTGTAATCGGAATATCTCGAGAATAATCGAACACCTTATAAGTGATATGTAACTTGTATACAAATTGATAACCTCCAAAAATAACTAGTATTTAATTAATCTGTTATATACTGAAGTACGTAAGATTTGCAAGAAGTTGTGGGCATATGCTTTGTGAACTTTGGACATTTTGGTAACATTGACAAGTTGGACTTACAACTTATTTATAAATATATATGAGCGTATTCATAACTTTAGAAATATTATAACGCTCACTGCGTAACAGGCCCATATCGGCCTGACGCGGCACTTAAGCTGGTGCGGACGAAGAAAACTATATCCATCTCGCTAGTGCGTAACGTTTACCTCAGGAGTATACATTGCATTACATTAAATGTATACATTATGTTTTCACAAAGTATAGCAATTTCATCTATCCTAGTGCTGGTGGGTCTAGAAAGACCTGCCAAGCATTGGCGGAAATATCATTGGCGGGCGTATTTTGGCCCGCCGCCGCAAAAGATGAAGAATTGTGATTTTACTGGCCTCAGTAAACGTGTTAAGAAACTTAGGCCATGAAGGGCATAGACTAGACTTGCGTCGTCCTCTAAGTCACCTTGCAATCTCTATCCAAGTCTTGAAATGCAACATTTCGAAGGTTAGTAGAACAGATTTTTGCGTTCTCTATAATTAACCTCTAACTGATTGGTTGTATTTGAAATTCGATTTAGTAGCATAAGATTAATTACAAGACTTTTAGGTTATAATTTAAAAAACGTCCAGCTTATTCTCTTAATAAGAATTAGCAAATTCTTCGGTAAACCAGATTTAAATATAATTATAATAAAAAAACAGTATTGTTTAAGTAAACTTATAGTAATAAAATGAAACTAAGCATTTACGATGTGATTGTACTCGTTCAGTGCAATTTTCAATCTTTATTGAAGTCGACTTTTGTAATCTGTCTGCCTGGTAACTGACAAAGGACAGATTAAAAAGAGTTTACAATTTCTGACTACATTTATTATGCGTTAGGACAAAAATAACTGTAAATTCATATTGTCTTTTTAAGGAAGACTTATTCTTTTGTTACAATTTTTAAAACCTTTTATTGCTTTAATGATATATTTATTGAATAAATAATCGAGATATTTTGATAAGTTTTTTAATCTTATTTCTTGAGAATTTTTATTGTAGTTTATTTTCATTCATGTAAATATTCATAATTTACTTCACGATATATGAATTAATGATGCTTGCAAATAACGTTAAATGATATCAAGTGTTCAGATGCCACATGTGCGTGAGTCATTTGGGTAAAAATTCGTTCGACCTTGATCCCACGCAATGTGGCTTTAACGATGACCTTGGGCGTTTCCGCCCTTATCGACAATTTCTGGACGCAGCATGTTATGTCATATTCTGTTGGCGCCAAATTATTAATCTGTTATAGGTTAGAGTTGGCGGGAACTTGATTAATTGATGAGTTTATCTACAAATTCTTTCAATACTATTTAATTTTAATTTACTAATATTATGAATAGTTTGTAAGAAAAATTATGACAGTTTTTTTTTCCAAAAAGTAAAAAAACATGATTAAACCCGTTC